CTTTGCCAGAAGCATGTTGTGAATTGATTGGGTTAAATGCACTAAATTAAGAGTCCAGCTCTGGAGTGGAATTTTCAGTGTTTCCTGAACAAAAGTATAATGTGAGATCTGAGAATCCTGATCCTTAAAAAATATTATAAATTGAAATTACGTGGAATTTAGAATGGCCACAGTGCTGCATGCCTGTAATCTTGGACTCAGGAGACTGAGGCAGGAATTGCTTCAGTGTAGGAGCTGAAGACCACCTAGGCAACATAGTGATAGCTCATCTCGGAAAGGAAGGAAGGAGGAAGAAAGGATAGGAGAGAAGGAGGCAGAGAGAGTGGGGAAAGGACAGAAGAAGGGAGGAAGGGAAAGTGAGACTGAGAGAGATTATCTGGATAGAAACACAATTTGCAATGCAATGACAAAAGCTGAAATCCTTTTCCAATAACAAAAGCCAAGTTTAGTCTTTTAGTCATCTTAAATGTAAAGCAATATCCTCTGAAAATGCTAAGCACAATGTCTGGGCGTTAAATCATTTTGTAAGCTTTTATTTTGCTGACAACAAACACTGTTTCACCACTGACCTGGATGCCTTCTTATTAAAAAGTGGCATCCAAAACAGAAAGCAAAGGAGAAAATACTCTTGTCTGCCATGAGATAATTTCAGTTCAGTCTCTCAGTGGATATATTAGAGTCAGAGAATTTCTTTTTTTAGCCACAATTTCTCTGAAAGGATCTTTATGCTGCTAGCAACTGGAAAACTTATTAAGACAATTCTGATGATAAATTGATTGAATGAAGCAAATGAATTTACAGGATTGTACCAAAATAAATAAATAAACAAACAAACAAACAAAGTGCTCACTTGCCTTTGTCTTCACTAGCTTGATTACAGCCAGAATTTCTTGGTGTGACTAGTATTAGTCGATTTTAAAATATTTGTACTTAGTCTACAGAAGGAAGATTTTGATTGTAAAAAATTATTTTTATGATATTTGTACATGTGTGTCTATCAAATGACTCAACATTTCCATGCCTTGTGACATGGAAATATTGTTGTTTGTCTTCACAGGATGAAGAGAAAATAAAGATGTATTTTTAATTTGAAGAAGAGATATTTTGAATTTTAAAGGAAGAGGCTAAAATCACATACTTGGGTTCAAAAATTTGTACAGTTTCTACATGCTGTATGAAACAATAACTGCAAAAGCAAACAATCCAAAGGTAATTGATAACTAAGGGAGAATAATTACAGAATAAAGGCTACTTTTCATAAAGTATGAGTGGTTTCTTGCAAAAATTTACAAAATGTAAGCAACAATAGAAAAAGAACTGTAGGCCATTAATAAGTAATTCATGAATAAGTAAAAAAGTCTTCAGCTTCAATGGAAATGAACAAAAGCAAATTTAAACAATGGATTATTTTCATTTTTATCTATAGAATAGGCCAAAATTTACAGTGGTTAGTGCCTTTCTTTGCGAGAATGTAAGACAAAAGCTATTTTCATTCATGATGATGCCATAAGGATGAGTGCGGTTGCCTGTTTGAGAGATTGTCACTACTGCCACCACTACTCCAGGAGTGAAGTCAGTGTGGCAGCACCATATGCCTGTAATCTCAGCACTCGGGAGGGAGGCTGAGGCAGGAAGATTACTGTGAGGTTTGAGGCCAATCCCAAATACATAGTGAGACTCTGTTTCAAAAAACAAACAAAACCCCACAAAAATACTCTTAAAACTATTAAAGCAGAACAAAATGTAAAGCTGCATTCAGATTAGGAGCAAAATTTAACAAAGTTGCTATATACAAGACAAAGACCAAGTGTTCTTGCATTTCAACTGAAATGCATTAGAAAATATTTCATAAGTCTTTCTCCATGTCTGAAGGTTGTAAAAGGTACAAAAAGCCAAGAAAATCCACCAATTAATAAATAAGGCCATAAAAAATTTTAAATTATGAAACATTATATACAGGATCCCAAAGGAGATTTGAATAAATACACATGTAACTTACGTATAAATATTTAGTAGTAAGCTTAAATTTATTAAATTCTTCATAAACCATAATTTTATTAAAATACTCTTCAAAATTTGATTTTGTTAGAAAATTTACAAAAGCAAAAAATATAGAATATCTGGAGTTATAAATACAAAACAATAAAATATTTGGTTGCGTTTCTTTCCTTTGTTCTTTTCTCCCTTTCTTTTTATTTTTTCACCTCTTTTTTTTAATTTTTCCATCCCTCTTTCTTTTCCATTCCTTTTTTGCTTTTTACCAGACTCCTACCCTCCCTTCTTTCTTTCTTTTTTCCTTCCTTTGTTGTTTTGAAGGGCACTATAGTGATCCATCCTTATTGCCAACTTCCTAGGCTCCGGAGATGCCTAGGGGATTAGTAAAGCTCACTCTGACTGCTGAGTCTGGGATGGTCATCAGGGTGTGGCCTTGAGCACTGAATCTGATCTCTGCCTCTTTTTTCTCAGGCTCTTCCTTGCTCGCCTTACTGCCTGCCTGTTACAAGATGAGCAATTTCCTTCACTGTACTCTTCTGTTGTTTCTTCTAAAACAGAAGAAACCGATGTTTCTTCTTTGGAACCAGCTGACCAAGATTGACACCTCTGAAACTGAACAAAAACATAGCCTTTTTTCTCTAAATTGCAAGCATCAGGTATTGTGCCTCAGCAACAGAAATGTTACTAACCCAGGCACTTCCAGCTCTGAAGATAGATTAGAGAAATTTGCTGGTTCATTTCACTTTTGATTGAATGTTGAGACTTATGAAAGACTATAATATCTATTTTGAAAATTACATATATATTAGAAATCATTTTATGAATCAGTCTTACCTTGGTAAAAATCCAGTGTAATCGTGAGAAGGTTATATATTGTCAGTTTTATGTAATTTTCTGTGCTGATTAGATCAAGTTGCTTCAAAGTATTGTTCAATCTGGCAAATGCAAGGTCCTGAGTTCAATTCTTAGTACAAAATAAAACAGTAAACAAACAAAACAGCAAAAACACCAAACTACTGTGTAAATCATCTATATCCTTATTGATATTTTGTCTACTTTTCCATTAATTAATGTGAGAACGTGTCAAAGTCAATTTGTGTTGCTATGACAAGATAACTTAGACTGGATAACGCAATTATAAAGACATAGAAAGTGATTAGAAAGTGATTTCCTTCTAGTTCTAGAAGCTTGGAGGTCCTCAATCAAGGCATTCCAGATTTGGTTTCTCAAGAAATCTGTTCTCTACTTTCCAGGTGACACCTTTTATTGTACCTTTTGATTTGATTCCAGAGAGTCATACTATTTATTTTTGAAACAGTTCACTCGTATACTGTTACACATCCTCTGACCTCTGTCAATTTCAGTGTGTGCAGTCAGTGCAACTCTCAGCTCTCTTTTTGTTGCTTTATTTTGAGATCATCCATTGCCTGTTCCTTTGCCTTGTGGGACTTTCTCTGTGATCTTACTGTGTGACTATGTCCATGGGAGCTGTGCTAACATAAATGGGAGAGACTCTGCTTTTCTCTAAATCTCCATTTATTTATTTATTTGTTTGTTTTTTAAAGGTAAAAATACCATGTATTTTAAGGGCTTATTGTGAAGTGGAAATGAAAAATGGTCATAAAGCATTTATGATAATATTGGAAACATAACAAAGGCTCGATCTTTTTTTGGTTAGATTTTACTTTGAACTTTTGAACAAACATACTGCTTTTCTCTTTGTGTGGCATGCTTGCTGCATTCCAACGTAAGCTCCAAAGTCACAAAAGTCTTGAGAGTCTATGTACCACTACATCCCTTCATGGACCAGGGACAGCTTGCTATTTATATACTCAGGAAATACTTTTGAAAAAATGAGAGAATGAATTTTATCAGTGAGCTTTGCTAAATGAAGAACCGTTCCTAAGAGCTTCTCATGTTAAAAGTGGTCAACATAAACTACACTACATTGGCTGCAGTGACTGTGCATATAAAAACGCAGCTTACAGTCAGACTTGCCTATTTTTATTTTAAAAAGAAAAATTAAAAATAACAATGAGACAGAATTTCAAAGCAGGTTAGTATTTTTAGAGTGTCTATAATGGCCACGTTTATTTTTTGCTTTTATCTGGGAGAATTTACTTACTGTCGGGGTCGCTCCCGGCCGGCAGGAAAGACACACGACAAAGTCTGGCGGTGTGCAATCTTGCCTTTATTTATCTCCGCGTGGGCCCCGCGAGGCCTCCGCTCTGTCACCAGCCCTTTCTCGCCGGTGGACTTTCTCTATCTCTCTCTGTGCTTCCTCTGTGGCGGGAGAGGCATTTACTTTTATAGGGTAACAGTGGCCAATCAGTTCAAAGCGCGCGATGCGGGCTGACTGGCTAACATCAGTTGTTGCTAGGCAGACTATCTTACAGAGCGGGTTGTTTAAGTCGCCAGCGCAATCAGGGGGCAGGAAGCAGGCGCCAACTTGACTCACTCGATGGGAGGGGCAATCTAGCTCAGGCTCCGCTCCCACCCACAGGCCCTACGTCCGCCAAGTAAGGCGACCGGTGTCGGCCGCGGCTCCCAACAACTTACTATTCATTGGTATATATAAATATATATTTAAAGCTTGAGTATAAACAACATAAATTATGATGATTTGATAACAAAAAAATGAAGCCTAGTATTGTGCTCCAGATGTTGGAAATGTAGTTGGCACTTGTACTCCTGAGTTCTGTTTATTAAATGCAAAGTAATCTCAGAGGGGCAGATTAAATCCATGAAACAGAAACTTTCATTTGCATCTTAACCAAACTGCAGGTCAGCATTCAGCCTGGACATATATTTTCTAGGCTAGCTGAGTTTGGTAGACGTAACTGGGAGGATTTCAACAAGTATATTTCTGGTTCCATCATGAGACATTCCTGGAGTATGTTTTGATATAAAGAAAGACAAGAGAACCAGCCTTCTATCACCCAGCCCAGATATTCCTCAGTCTGCAGCAGGTGATTTGAAACAGCTGCCATGAAGGATTGGCAGCTATGCCAAGTGCAGTGGAAATCTTCCTCATTTTTGTTGCAACCAGTGAGTCAGTCCTGGGGCTTCTAGGGAATGGGTTCATCGGACTTGTAAACTGTACTGACTGTGTTAAAAAGAAGAAATGCTCTCTGATTTGCTTCATACTCACTGGCTTAGCTATTTCCAGATTTTGTTTCATATGGATAACAATTTTAGATGGCTATATAAGGATATTCTTTCCTGATACGTATAACTTTGGTAACACCATGGACTATATATTTTATTCTTGGACAGCTTTCAATCATTCAACCATCTCATTTACTACCAGCCTCAGCATCTTCTATTTCCTGAAGATAGCAAATTTTTCTCACTGCACATTTCTCTGGTTGAAGAGAAGAATCAATACTGTTTTTACATTTGTGATGGGATGCATGCTTCTGTCATTTGTATTTCACTTTCAATTAGATGTGAAAATAACTAGTCATGAGAAAGTGACATACAGAAACACATCCTGGTGGCTCCATCCACATAATAGAGAGTATTTTACTGACCATCTTTTAATCAATCTGGGGGTCATTTTCTTCTTTTTTGTAACTGTAATCATGTGTATCCTGTTAATCTTTTCTCTTTGGAGACACCACAAGAAGATGCAAATGAATGTCACGGGATTCAGAGACTTTACTACAAAGGCTCACATGAAAGCAGTGAAAGTTTTAATAGTTTTTATCATTCTTTATGCCTTGTATTTTATAGGTGTTATCATACAAACATCATGTGCTATTGTGCCGGAAAACAAACCTCTGTTTCTTTTTGGTTTGATCAATGTAGTCGCCTCTCCCTTTGTTCACCCGTTTATCCTCATTCTAGGGAACAGTCAGCTGAAGCAAACCTCTCTGAGGGTAGTGCGGCAGTTAAAGTGCTGTGAGAAAAGACAGAATCTGAGAGTTACATAGGTAGGCTTGCAGACAAATGGATATTCTAGGAGAACAACCTATTGAGGAAATCCTTGAAGACCTCTTTCCCTTGCCCTACATCTTGCAGTGGTTTGTAAGACTGTTGCTTAACATCACTGAAATCTTCCATAATTCTTTGACTGTTTCAGGGAAGCCGCTGTCATCCGAGATTTAATCCCATGTGCAGATTCACCACCAGTTCAGTCAACTTCATGGCTCTGAAACATCTTTCCACATACTTCCCAGGGGAAAATCACAGTAAAGAAACTATTTTGTATGAAGATAAACATCTACCAGAAGACTTTGCAGTGCGCCTCACCTGACTTCTCATAAGCAGTGGCATCCTTCCCCTATGACATCCCTCAGAAAAGTAAAATCACAAAAATGTTATAAGCAGTTTTGGCATTTAGATTATAGAAGTAAGGAACAGAAAAGGATGCTTTTGTGTGTGTGTACAATTTTAATTTTTTAACAAGTTAATTTATTGATCTTTAAATGTTAATGTCCTTTTTTACTGCTGTATGTTTGATGTATTAGTAGTAGTCATGGTAGTAGATGTAGCACTATGAAAACTACTTAGGGAAAGTACCTGGAAGAAGGAATCAGAGCACTAATGAAATGATTCTTAGTTGTTCAGAGTCTGACATGAAGCAAAATCATGAGTCCATAGTCAAGTAATGCATCCATACAAGTGCAAATCCAAAAGATCCAACATGATCACTGACCAAGGGATAAAACATTGAATGTGGGGTAGAATCTGTGTGAAGTATAAAATGTTTAGCCCTAGGGATTCACACACACACACACACACACACACACACACACACACGCATGCTACACAAACTCGCAGTCACAGACATATTACAAATGTTGATTTCTAAAATAAATTTTATTTTCAACTCAGACCATTAACTTAGTAACTTCTTTTGACAACTTCTGAAGGTGTGCTGATATTCTCAGGGCCTTGTTCCTAGAGTATTGCCAAAAGATCAGGGCTTATTCCATGTTCTGCATGAGATTTATAGTTATATTTTCTAAATACTTTTATATTTTTAGACTAATATGTTTGGGATGTACAGATAATTAAGAGCTAATGGAGAACTGCAGCAAGCAACATCAGCACCATCATGTCACCCAATTTCAACCTAACTTACCAGGTTTTATTTGAAGTTATATTGTATAATTATGCTCTCTTACAGATTTCACTATTTTATTTATTTTTTGGTGACTTTAAAATTTAATCATGATCATTATTTTAAGAGATACATAATAGTCTATCTTGAAAATACACATCAATGTATTTAATCTTTGTCATTTCTTTATATTTAGCATGGCTTTATCTTTTTATCATACCAAATAAATATCAAATGAATGTCATGTAGCAACAGTACTGTAGATTCATCCATTTTATGTACTTTAATGCTAATTCTGATAGTTACTGAAAATGTGCTATGAAGTAATAGTCAAATAGCTGAGTGTGGTGGCAGACTCCTGTTATTCTAGCACTCGGGAGGCTGAGGCAGGATGATTGTTACAAGTCTTAGACCAGCCTGGGCTACAAAGTGAGCTCAAGGCCAACCTGAACTGCATAGAGAGACCTTTATCAAAAAAATAAAAAAAAATAGTGACTAGATATTGATGTTGTTCAATTTTGACATTTTTATAGTTATTTTATTTTCATTACTTTTGATCACAGAACAACAGTTAAAATTTTTGTCTGTTCAGTTACTATTGAGATTAAAATTCTGTATATGAGAGTTAGATAGTGGCAAATCCTACCTAGGAACTGCTCACTTGTTTTTGTTATTTTTTCATGTCTTATGGTTTTGTTACCAGTTTTGTAACTACTTTGTACATTAGCACTATAATATTTATGTGTTAATATTTTTGCTTTTAATTTTCTGTTTGGCAAAAAATTCACAATATTTAGAAAAACAGGATGGTAATTCCTATGAACCCAAATCTTTTTATGCTTTTCTTCATGGTTTCTTCTGCTGTTTTTCTAACATTAGTTTAGTTTTATTGATACTTTCTCCTTTTATCAAAGAGCTCCATTCATTACTAAAAATAATTCAGTTTCATTTTACCTAATATTAGAAAGCAGATATAAAGGAAAAATTGATTATGCATATTTACAATACTCTACCTACCTAGATAGCCACACAGGTATGTTGCTTAGAAATCCATTTTGACTATATTTTTGTATAAACTTAGGATTCTTATCCATGGATAAGGGAACTACAGATGATTTTTATTTTCTTTTGTAGTTGTAATTTGTTAAGTGTTGTATGAAATAATGTGTGTACTCAAGAAAGTAATTAATTAAAGGATAAAGTTTTTGAGAAAAATCTGCTTGTCTGATTTTCGTTAATACATAAGACAAGGAACATTCCCTGGGGTTTTCATATACTCTGTAAGTATAAACCCTAACATCTACTGTTATTCAACTGTCCAGTTATGAACTAAAAATCTAGGGTTGGAGGATGCCAGGCAAGTGCTCTAGCTCTAACCTACACCAGGAGCCCAGATGATTCTATTTTTGAACTCAGCTTTGTTAGGAATTTATTAATGGAATTCTTTAAGGTGAAATTGTGGATGTAGTCTTTCAGGAAGTATTTAACCTTACTTTAGAAGACAGATGTAAATTCATAAGATTGTTGGCAGCATAGTACAAATTTGCATGCAAGCATAATATGGAAGAAATACACGACAAATATACATGCAGGCAATGATATAATGAAGGCTACATTTAGTTTAATCTTTTGCTCGGTAGATATTATTTTTTGACTGCCCATTAAGGTACTGCCTTTCAAGGGTCCAGGTTTGTTTCTAGTAACCAGTCTCCCTTCCAGTTTTGGAGGGCCCTGGCAGGTGTACTATCCTATCTACACAGGAGGAGAAAAGAAGGTTATTAGAGGTGTTGTGAACGGGTACCCATCGACCACCCACAATAATAGTACTCATGACATGTGGCACACATGCACTCATAAAATGAAATCTCAGGAGAAATGGAAGCCGTGGATTTAAAGAGACTAACACTGTCTCAGGGAATAACTCTATTTCAGCACTTTTTTCTCTTTCAAGATTTGCACTTTTCCTTATTTTTAGCATCTGAGGAAACTTTTATTTAAATTTATTTAAATTTTCATAACAGCTGGGAAATTCACTTAAAGTATTCAGTTTATTCCTACATCCTCACTTGGAAGCATCCAGACACCTGGACTGGAGTAGTCTTTTTTTTTTTTTTTTTTTTTTATTTTTTTTATTTAAAGAGAAAAAGAAAACAGAAAAAAAGGGTAGAAGTAATACAGAATTTCAGAAAAATATACAGTAAGAAATCACTAGTTGAGAAGTTACATATTGTCATCTTAGAAATAGTTGTTCAATTTACAAAATTAAAGCATACAAAGTGATATTCAAATAATGACACTGCAGAGTGGAACAGCTAGGCAGGTCTGGGGCACTTGCATCTGCCTCCTCATGTGTCTGGAGGACTGTGGATTTCTAAGCAAGCAAGGTGAGCATCACCAGTTCCAGAAGCCTGGCGTCCTGGGGTAAGTGCCCCACACACTCTCCTCCAAGCCCAGCTTGTCGGGACCTTTGAGCCTTCTGGGTGCAGTGAAACAGCTAGGCAAGTCTTAGGCACCTACATCCGCCTCCCTGTTCTGGCTGGGCTTGGAGAACTGTGGAGTTCTAAGCAAGCAGGCGGGCACCCACTGTCCCCAGAGCCCAGCTTGTTTGGGACTGCAGAATTCTAAGCAAGCAGGTGAGCGCCACAGGATCCAGAGGTCTGGTGGCCTGGAGGAACTGGGTTCCAGAGTCCCAGGAGCTGCTAGCATAGAAGTGAATTTTCAACAGACTCAGGAAGCTTTCAAATAACACTTGAAACACAGAAATATAAGAAAATGACAAAATGAAAGACCAAATTACTACCTCAAACTTCCAGCCCATCTCAAGAGACCCTAGGAGCGATGTATATAGAAGAAAATATATGTCATACACCTCAAATATTGGACATAATAGCAATTGAAATAAATAAGCAACTTCGGGAAGCTTTAAAGGAATTCAAACTATAAATAATTTCCCAGGTAAAAGAAGAAATGATAAAAGAATGAAAGAGATGCTGAACATATCTAAAGACAACAGAGTTAAAAAATTGGAAGAACTAAACAAAAAGATAGAATCCCTAGGTGAGCAATATAAGAAACAAACAGAATACATAAAGCAGATACACAGAGATATACAGGAAATCAAAAACTCCACTGAAAGCTATAAAAACCACCTCAACGAAATGAAGATAGAATTTCAGACCTTGAAGACAGGATTGCAGCTAGTGAACAGGAAAGGAAAGATCTTTTAGAAATAATGAAGAATCAGGAAATAACAATTCAACAATTACAAGATAATGCAAAGAAAAAGAACAAGATTGATAGGGATTAGCGAAAAAGAAGGGGACAACATAAAGGATGTCAAGAGGATATTTAGAGAAGTAATAGCTGAAAATTTCCCAAGCATGAGATCAGAAACCGACATCAGGTTCAGTGAAGCATACAGAACTCCAAATAGTCATAATCAAAATAAAACTACACCCAGACATATAATAATAACCATCCCAGAAATCCAACACAAGAATAGATCATTAAAAGCTGTCAGAGAGAAAAGACAGATCACTTATAAAGAAAAACACAGCAAAAACAATAAAGTTAAGAAGAGCATGGAGTGAAGTATTCCAGATCCTAAAGCAAAATGACTTCCAGTCTAACTGATGTACCCTGCTATCATTCAAAATTGATGGTGAAATAAAATACTTCCATGATAAAGAACAGCTGAAGAACTTCATGATCACCAAGCCAACCCTGCAAAAAATATTGAAAGACAGTTTAGATACACAAAGGAAAAAAACCACTAAGTAAAGCAGATAATTAAACAGAACAGAAAGATAAAACTACAACAGCAGAAAGATAACATGTCAACAATAAACCAACATACAACAGTTATAA